TTATAATACAGGTCTGGTATTATAGTACAGGCCTGGTATTAAAATACAGGCATGGTATTATATTACAGGCCTGGTATTATAGTAAAGGCCTGGTATTATAGTAAAGGCCTGGTATTATAGTAAAGGCCTGGTATTATAATACAGGTCTGGTATTATAGTACAGGCCTGGTATTAAAATACAGGCATGGTATTATATTACAGGCCTGGTATTATAGTAAAGGCCTGGTATTATAGTAAAGGCCTGGTATTATAGTAAAGGCCTGGTATTATAATACAGGCCTGGTATTATAATACAGGCCTGGTATTATAATACAGGCCTGGTATCATAATACAGGCCTGGTATTATAGTACAGGCCTGGTATTATAATACAGGCCTGGTATTATAATACAGGCCTGGTATTATAGTACAGACCTGATATTATAGCAGAGGTGTTGTTTTACACCCAAGGCCTTCAGGACCACCTGATTGTTACAATCAGTGATGTTCTCTGCTTGATTGTGCCTCATCTTCTGGGCCGTGTTGTAAAAAAGAAAAGGGCTTCAAATTTTATGTACGGCATCTAAATTTATGTAGTTTATACTATGTAATTATATATATATACATTTACATATATTCTATCTCTCACAATTAAATTTAACCTACCCTTAAAATTATAGACTGTTCATGTCTTTGTAAGTGGGCAAACCTACAAAATCAGCAATGGATGAAATGTATGTCCTCCACTGTATGTATTTGTATATGGTTTATTTATTAATAATCAGGATCATCCTGCAGAAGGTTACTGGCTATGACAAACATATTTTATCACCATTAAAACAAAAAAATATTAACCAATTAACAGTTAAGCCAAAATATGATATGAAATATGTTTTATACTTAGTATTTATAGAACTATAATTCGCCTGTCTCCAGATGTAGCACCATCCACTAGTTGCCTTCTCATCACTAACTGTTTCACCTTCTGCTCATCTCGTCTCATTTTTGACATTATTCACTACATCTAAGCCATCTAACAGTTCTGGACAATGATGTCATTTTTCTGATTAGTAGCCGGTACATTACAAACTCAGTGAAAGCCTTTAAGCTGCGCAGCAGAATGTCCAAGCTGGATGCTTGTGGAATTCTTCTGTAAGTCAGCTCTTCTGGTGTACAATCACCTAACACTGCAGAGTTTCAACTTTATGATCGATGAAGCTGCACTACACTGAGCACAGAGCTTTGCCCTGGCTTCTTGCAGGGATTTCCTCTGCTGTGTCCAGGTGCATCTTCTCTGAAAAAGCACACCTGTCACTACTGTAAACATAGCAGCTGGTTGGTGAAAAGACACTTTTCTACCACTTTTTCTGAGGCATATTTCTCAGTATTTCCTGTATCCTGTCAGCACCTGGCTGGTACCTGTTGTTGACTTTGAAGGGGTGTTTCCTTGGCCCTGCAGACCCCACATTCCATACCTTGTTGATGCTGATTTGACCAAGGAATCAGAGCCCAGTATCAAATCTCTGTCTCTGTCACGTCATTAAATGAACCACAGATTATGCTCATTGCTCACTAGATGGTGCCAGCGTCTTTTTTCCCCACACATGAATACTTTGTATTTTAAATCTGAGCATAAGAAACATTCTCTTCAATCATTTTAATGACAACCTGACAGACTTTAGCTTTAGTTTATTTATAATATTTATACTTGTTTTATTATATTTTTTTGTTTCTAAATTGATTCCATTGATTTATTTAATAAAACTACAGTGCACATCGCTGTCACATAAGCAGCTTAGGGTCAAACAAGTTGCTAGTTCTGAACCTTTGACCTGATTTAGAAAACAGATTCAGATATTTGGATATAAAATTTAAGGGTTGCTGACTCAGTTCATCCACCAGTCTGCCATTTGTCTGGATTTGGGATTGTTTTTACCATCAGTCAGTTGAAACAATATCAGTGACAGGTATAATGTCTTACCTCATTCATCACCAAGTTTAATTTAAACTCTGTGCAGTATCTCTCCTCTTCACTGATGTTAATTTGCTGATGAAGTTTCTTGCAAAATTCCTGAAAAAAAAAGTTTTTTCATATATATATATATATATATATATTTTTTAGTTATTTCTGACCTTAAATAGAGAAAAAAGCGTACAACTAAACAAACATACTTACCAAGAGTTCCTCTCTGGAGTATGGAATCTCCATAGGAGGACATTTTTCTGCGAGGAACTTCTCCCGCTCTGCAGTCTTTGTCTGAGCTTCAGCCTCCAGCAAATTGTTTGCCACCACCAGCATGCAGCTCTGAGACATGAACGAGACCAAGAGGGTTAACTAAATCAACAGGTTTCACTTAAACCAGTAATAATTCCATCTTACACTCTAAAAATGAAATGTTGGATTTACTTAACCATGTTATGTGACCCGGTTCCACTTAACTGAGTTGAGTAAATTCAAAGCAACATACTCATGTTCTTTGGTTAAAAACTGGTATATTGCTTTGAATTTACTCAACTCAGTTAAGTGGAACCAGGTCACATAACATGGTTAAGTAAATCCAACATTTCATTTTTTACAGTGTAATGACAAAAATAATGAACAAGATGTCTTAATTTAAACACATTTGAGTGTAAGTGTGCACACGTTTTTTTCTTTCTTTTTTTTTCTTTTTTGCCACTTCAGTAGAAAGCAGAACTGAATATCAGAATATTAGTATCTTAGCTTCTTATCTTTGTTTTTGTAGGTTTGGAGCCAAGAAGTCGGCTGTGTTGTCTTGTGTTTTCTCAACATATATTTCACATATCTTCTAATCTCTCTTTCACTCTTTCTCATTACATTTCACTTTTTTATTGCTCTTTCTTTTTCTCCTATCAAAAAAAAAAAAGCCGCTGATGATGAAGTGTGCACATGTTAACAAATATCTTTGTGGAAGGACGTGTACTCACACACAATATACATTTTCTGAGATGATGTTTAATTACTGCTGTTGATTTTCTTCCTCAATTATGTGAAACTGACCCTGATTATTATAAATGTGAAATTCATAAAAGAGGAAGATTTTTGTCAACTGGACCTGGAGGTATAAATGTTGCATAAAGTTGCCAAACATCTGACATTAGTTCACACAGAATGAGTACATTTA